CAATATTCCATTTACACAATACTTTTCTGTTTTGTCTATATACTTCTTTATACACCAGAAGAGAAAATTTGGCACGCATTTTGATTTCGTTCAAATAACACGCAGACATAACTAGCGAATACTTTTATATTAGCGGTGACGCGAATCAGTAGTAATATTTAAAAGCACAACCACACAAGAAAAGTTTTTTCTCGTTTTTTTAGCCGCTTTCTCAACTATCGACTCAAAAACTGACTTCAGCAGAAAGATATTTTACACACTAAAACATTAGCACGGATTTAGTACGGCTGAAATGTTAAGGTCAGATCGACACAAGTCGCATCCAGAAATTTTAGATCTAACAACTGAGATTGAAGAAAATAAGAATATGTTACTGTTTTCCAGTAACTATGTGACTAAGTGGCAGTCGATTACATTATGTTTTACTCGAACCTTTCTTCGAGAACATGTCATAATTAAGTCCACTGAAATAAACCGGTTATTGGGCCAATAATATCAACCAAATATAAAAGGATCGGATATAGATAGGTAAAGTCTGTTTATCCGATAAACAGAAATCTGAAATGGCCATCGTAGCTCTCGTGTAGTGACTCGTAGGTGTTTGACACCCACCCAAAATAAGAAATTTGATATACTTACTCCCGTCGGCGACGTCGACTAGAAATAGCATTAGGTGCATTCGCAAGTTCAGCTGTTGCACTTGTTGCATTGACGTCTGATATATATTGGTAAGGTAAGAATAATAGGATCTATAGAACAGGGAAAAACTATTTCTCTCTAGACTTTATTGCTTATATAGATGCTCACTCTTGCTCGAAGAGCCCTTAAAGCATCGCTAGAAAGTGTAGCACCAGATGGTAAAGTATTATTACCAACAGCAGCAATATAAAATGTTATTAATGCCAGTTGACTTTGGGATACTTTAAAAGCATAGTAAATAAATAAATAGTTGAACAATAGTAACGAAGAATATCTTACATTTTGGTGTTGTTGTACTTTCATTTAAATAGATGGGTATTAATGCAAGAATTATAGCAGCTGCGACTGTCAAAAACAGTAGACCAAGACATCCGAACATAATAAATGGTATGGCTGCAGCAACACCTGCTTTTTCTCTGCAATATAAAACCACTACTCAGTTAACCATTACTTCTTAGCCTTATTATCCACAAGATCGCAAATACTAGATAGTACGCTGCGGACACCTCGTATAATTGAAATCTTTAAGTGAAAGGCGTTTAAAAAATTTGTGTTTTCCTGACACCTCTAATAACAGAAGATAGAAGCAGAACAGACTGACGTTTCTTTATAGGCATCCATACTCCTATTACTCTTCTTCTTTAGTCTTTTATTTATCTATAATCTTCTTTATATGCATGCACAAGAGATTTCTATCCTTCTTTTTACTATTCTTATTCAATAATAGTTCTGTTATTCTATACTTTTCATTCATAGTAGCTTTACATATTAGACACAAAGTCATATGTTCAATTTCTAGCACCCTCAATACATCTCTTTCGTCTACATATGTTTTCTTCTTGAAAATAAGATTTTATCCACTGAACGTTCGAATAATTCAGAGAATAAAAATATAGTAAAATCAGTTCGTTGTCACCTACCCCATCGAGAAATATTGCTAGAATAAGCAGCTTACCTGATTAGGCAAGATACTATCTCGGAAACCATAGATTCTCTAACGGGCGGGAAGTGTTTATTCTTCTTCTTGCACATTGTATATTCATTGTGTATCAAAATTATGTGTTCAACCTTCTTCCTTTCTCATGGGAGAAACGGAAAACAAATTTAGCTCAACATTGTCCATTTTATCTTTCTTGGCCTGGCAAGATTACTAATTCGGGCAAGGAGTCAGAACTTGAAGAAAAATAACACTCAAATCAGCGCAGACGTCTATTTTTGTTGACTCTTTATTATTTTCGCTAACTTCGTCGTTAGGTTTTTTCTATGTCTCTTTTGTTGATTTCAACCACTTTTTTTATTTATTTCTTATCATTTCGTATTTCCCTTTTTTCACTCTGTTTTGACATGTTTATCTAGAACAGCTCTCTGAAGAATCTGCCTTAAGAAAGATTTTCAAACGTACTTTTTATGAAAAGATGCGTCAAAGTCTCAGCTTTCGATTGACGAAAACCGTAACGTTCTATCTATTTCTACCACTGGAGTCAAAATAGAAGAGTAGTGGCTAGTTTTTGAATAACTTATCGTCAGACAAAGATAAAGATAAAGACTTGCGATGTTCACAATTCGATAGCCAAGACTTGAGGCTATCTTTCCACAAGCAAAACTGATTTTCGATAAAATTTTCGGAGGATTATTGGAAAACTAGTTTACACTTTCCGAGATTCAAATAAAAACGTATTAATTTCTGAAGCTGATATATAGTCCAAAGTGTCCTGTACAAACTTGGAGCTACGCGACAACTTGAAAACCCGTGGTTCGGGAGCTATGGACGTTTTTCCTGAAGCCTCAGCATTCCTCTGCCGTTAGTTTTGGACGGTCAGGAATGAATGAAAACATAGTTTATCGACTACGCTGAATCTCGACGCAATGTTAGTTTTCGAAATGCATGAACCGAGTGAAAACCTATACTAAGTGAAATAACCCATTTTTGATTATTTTCATCAAAAATTAAAAAATGCATAACTCAGTCAAAATCCATCTAACCTACTTCAGAATATCAGGAAATACTCTATTTTATGTGCAGCACACCGAAAAGCAATTAATATTAAACAAAAACAGAAAATACTTTGGTTTCTAGAGAGGTTTCCGAGAAACCTTCAGAACTAAAAGAATCTCTTTTATTGGTTTAACGTATAGAATCAGGATGAGCGAATAAATAGAATATTTCCTGACATTCTAAGGTAGATCGGATGGATTTTGATTGAATTCTGAATTTTTTCATTTTTGATGAAAATAATCGACAATGGGTTATTTCACCTAGTATAGGTTTTCACTCGGTTCTTGCATTTCGTTCTGAATACTTACATTGCAATGAGATTCAGCGTAGTCGATCACCTATGTTTCCATTCATTCCTGACCGTCGCAAAACTAACGACAGAGGAATGCTGAGGCTTCAGGAAAAACGTCCATAGCTCCCGAACCACGGGTTTTCAAGACGTCGCGTAGTTCCAGTTGTGTCGGGGATACTTTGGACTATATATAGGCTGCAGAAATCAATAGATTCCTATTTGATTTTCAGAAAGTGCAAGCTGGTTTTCCAAAGATCCTCTGCAAAACGGGCTTCGAAAATTTTATCGAAAGTCAGTTATGCTTGTGAAGGACATCCTCAAGTTTTGGCTATCGAATGGTGGAAATCGCACGAATCTGTTATGGCTTAATCAGACTTAATATTACAAGCTAGACAAGATGTTTGTAATTAAGTAATTCATGAGTTAAAACAATGTGGAGCCGAGGAAATCATTGCACAATCTGATGATAACGCATCGTATATGTAAGCAAAAATATTGATGTTCAGTCATACATAAATATAAAATTATATCGATTAGTATATATCATACTCTACACATTCGTCAAGTTTGATTGTTAAACATGCCACTGTAATTAGTGTCGAATATGTTAGTTGTTTTTTCTTTGAAAAGTATTAAACATCATACACCGTTGTGTGAAACTTTATATGAAACGGAATATGGTATGGCTCACAGTAGGTTGTTTGTCCAGACTATTTCACTTATTCTTATTCGAAACTGAACTGATCGACAGAGTCCTTTTCTAGTATCTCACACCACTATGAACGGAAAACAGTCTGGAGCGTTCGTACTACATCGGACGGCTTTTTTGATAGATTTTATAGTATCTCAGAGAGATATCCCAATTTACAGGTCAATAGTCCATCCCTGTTTGTGGCCCTGATTGTCCGGGTTTGGTGTTAAACGCAGAAAGGGAAAATGTCGAAAAAAAAGTAGGAAAACGTCGAAGAGGAAAACATATACATAGAAAACACCGAAAGACATGATGTCGAATTGGAAAGATGGTCAGCAGGAAAAGGTCGACAGGAAAAGATCGATTGGGAAAATGTCGAGAAAAAATATTTTATTTCTTATTATACTAGATGATAAAAAAAAATTCCAATTAAATCACAGAGACAAGAAAAATGGACGTAAATGTCAGTTCCTGATCTCATTTTTTTGGACCGGCGAGTAACAATCCAAAGCCATGTAATAGCTGCTTTGCATTGATTTCATTTTTACCCCTCACCCTCACCCTCACTATAAACTTTCCGTTCCCTATCAAAGTAGGGAGCGAACGAAAGAGAAAAAAATCTATTTTCTTCCATAGTTACATATGTGGCAATGGCCACATTGCGATATCTTTTGAAGAAAGAGATAACTCCTTATTTGCTAGTTCTCTAATGTAAAGTCGTAGAATGACTGGATTAAGTACTGTCTACATAGACGATCACCCTCGATAGAGAAAATCCAGTTGACGAAGATAAAGGAATGATTCTGTTCTAGTAACAGCCAATAACAACTGTGAAGATAAAATAACATAAGATATAGACATCTTTCATCTAAGGCGCGGGTAATTCAAAGTTTCAGCAGATGATATATCTGTATGAAGCATACATCAGTCGATAGCCCTTGAAGAGGTGATCCCAAATATCACCTTTGAAAAAATTCCAGTCCTTTCCTTCGTGGAGAAAACCTCGAAATACTTCGTTCTTGTCCAGTTTGCAAAAAATTCGATATTTAACATAAAATTTTGTTTATTTCTTCTCCCTTGCACTTTTAGTGAATAATAATAACAT